TGTGTGTGTGTGTGTGTGTGTGTGTGTCTGTGTGTGTGTGTGTGTGTCAGTCTATGTGTGTGTCTGTGTGTGTGTGTGTGTCTGTGTGTGTGTCTCTAAGGATTTTGTCACATCTTGTGTCGCTCACTGAATTTTACAAACATTTTACCAGGAGGCTGCAGGAGAAGCTCCAGAAAATGTCCAGAGACACTGACTCAGACATTGTCCTCACATACAGAACACGTCAGGAACACGTCAGGAACATGTCAGAAACATGTCAGGAACATGTCAGGAACACGTCAGGAACACGTCAGGAACATGTCAGAAACATGTCAGGAACATGTCAGGAACACGTCAGGAACACGTCAGGAACATGTCAGGAACACGTCAGGAACATGTCAGGAACACGTCAGGAACACGTCAGGAACATGTCAGGAACACGTCAGGAACATGTCAGGAACACATCAGGAACATGTCAGGAACATGTCAGGAACATGTTAGAACTTCAGTTCATGTCTGAAATCAGTTGATGACACAGAGATGATGAGTCAACTCCAGTTTGACTGACGTTTTTAATAAAGTGCGACACGCTGATATCAACCACCTACAACGACACTGTGTCTCTGTTGTGTCCTCAGGTGGAGCGTCCGTCCAGGAAGCGCCGGGATTCCTTCGGGATGTTGGACGGTTTGGACGAAGACCGGAGCAGCTGCAGCACAGAGTCCAGTGGAGGCAGCGGAGCGTCCAGCCCCGAGGACAGTGAAGATGAAGAGTTGGGAGGAGCAGTGACTCAACTCAGCACCACCTCCTCTTCCTCCCTGACGCTCATCAAGACCAACGGACAGGTGTACACGTATCCTGACGGGAAGGCCGGCATGGGTCAGTGAGACACGAACATTTCAGATGAAGTAAAACACTTGAGAGCTTCTAGTTAAATATGAGAACGGGTCAATGAGTTGAAAAATAAATCCCCACAGATGAAATAAAAAAGTGTGCACGTTGTTTCTCAGTGTGTGATCTTGTGTGTGTGTGTGTGTGTGTGTTTTCCTCAGCGACATGTGAGATGTGTGGAATGGTCGGAGTCAGAGACGCTTTCTACAGCAAAACCAAACGTTTCTGCAGCGTCTCCTGCTCCAGGAGTTTCTCATCCAACTCCAAGAAAGCCAGCATCCTCGCCAGACTGCAGGTACAACACACACACACACACACACACACACAAACACACACACACACACACACAAAGTTTCTATATGAAAATGACTTGTCACTTAATCTATAATTTTTCCTAATAAAGAAATAAACTGCTGTGTTTTAAATAAAGACATTATTGCAGGACACAGCATCAAAGTGATGAATTTACACTTTCTGATAATTAATTAATTCATCCATTAACTTAACGAGTTGTTTCTCTGTGAAGACATTTAATCCATTTCACCAGAGTCCATCAGTTCCGTGTGTTTCAGGGGAAACCTCCCACGAAGAAAGCCAAGGTTCTTCAGAAACAGCCTCTGATGACCAAACTCGCTGCCTACGCTCAGCATCAGTCCAACCAGCAGGGCGGCGTCAAAAAGAGCGGTGAGGAATAAGTTCAAACATTATCAGCATCACATGACACATGGCTGCACCGTGTGTTGACTGAAAACACACAACCACGGGAAAATGATTCTTCAGCAGGAACCAATGAGCTGCGAGCAACAGACGGAGGTGGGAACATGTTGAGGGACGGACTGACACATTCATTTATTGACGAGGATGTAATGACATAATGAACGGTGCAGTGTGTGTGTGTGTGTGTGTGTGTGTGTGTGT